GAACAGTCAAATCAGAAATATGTTGCTATACAGCAACTAAACTGTCAATTCCACATGTTCTGCATTCCTTCTGTGGCCTTTAAGTGTACATAGGACGTGAACATGGATCATGTGGATTGTAATGGTTCGAAAGGAATCAGGTTGTGGTGTTTTAAAGACGTCTCCTCTGCAGTTACTGTGTGATTGCCCAGTCTTGCATCCACTTAATAACCAAAGCTATCAACAGCAGCCTGTTTCTAAGAACCAGTGGAGGAAAACTATTAATCCATTTGTTTGTACTGACAAATGGACTCTTCTTTGTTGAGCTATAAACATAGATTAAAGCCACATTGTTTCCTGTTGAGTCAAAGTGAGTTTTAGGGCTGATGACTCAATGACTCTCATCCACTCACTGACATTCACTCATGGCTTCCTTGGGGATTCATGAATTCATCCATTTCAGACTAGGGCAGTAGTGTTTTTTGGCCCAGGTTGTAGTGACCCATATATATGAGAGTGAGCTGGATAACATAAACAAGAGGACCATTAGAGACCAAATGAATAATAGATGAAAACAGAGACAGTGTAAGAGCAGGGAGACACTTTTAAAGTAGTATTCCTTGAAAACGGATTACCCAATTTTATTCTGTTGTGTGTGTTTGTGTTTAAGTATCAGTGTCATTCTTGAAGTGTTGGTGATATTGCTCTTGACATTTTTGCCTCTGATATGTGTTAAAATGAACAGCATTATTTGGAGAAGGGCTGGCAATGACATTGCTAACAGCTAGTTCTGGGAAAGTCAGCTGAAACTGCAAGTCTTTTTAAACTACAATGCTGCTCTGTAACCCGGGGGGCAATCCAGTAGTCTGCATACAAAATCTTGCCTGAACACTACTTCTAAGAATAGACCACTACTGTGGGTAATTTGGCAAGAAACAATTGAATTGTAGTCCCAATAGGAAAATGTGCTGAAAAAAAACTGACATCTCCCAGTACCTCTGTGTACCTCCCACTTATATCTATATCCTCTACTCTGTTAAGGAGCAGTACAGATGCTGTGTCATAGGTGCTGATGTTGCTATGCAACCAACCCGAATGGTTTTTAAAAGGGATGAACATTTTGAACAAGTCTGTTTTCATCTCAAAATGGTTGTATTTTGCAGAATAATGATTTCCCATTAGCAGGAACCCTTGAAACTGCCTTGATTTATGATCTGCGTGGTGGGTGCATCCCATTATACAGCTCTCAGAAGAATCTCTTCCATGTTTACCAAAGAACAGATGAATGGAACTGGAACTGCTCTTTTCCAATCAGAGAGCAAGCGGTGCTAAACTGTAGACAATAAGCGTGAGTCACACCCATGCTACTGAGCACCACTGCCATTCATTTAGACTTCTTTTAGACATTTTCAAGGTCCGGTGTGTAACATTTAGGAGGACCTATTGGCAGAAATGGAATATAATATTCTTAGGTATGTTTTCATTAGTGTATAATCACCTGAATATAAGAATTGTGTGTTTTTGTTACCCTTAGAATAAGCC